AAGGAAGGAAGGAAGGAAGGAAGGAAGGAAGGAAGGAAGGAAGGAAGAAAGAAAAGAAAAGAAAAGAAAAAAGAAGGAAAGAAAAGAAATAACAATAGTATCAACCTTCTTAGATTGTACTGAGGATTAAAAGAGATGACACAGGGGAAATGTAGGTGGCTTAATTGGTTAAGCATCTGACTTGGGCTCAGTCACGATCTCACGGTCCATGAGTTCCACCCGTGTCGGGCTCTGTGCTGACAGCTCAGCTGGAGCTTGCTTCCAATTCTGTGTCGCCCTCTCTCTCACTGCCCCTTCCCCGCTTGCACTCTCTCTCTCAAAAAATAAACTTAAAAAAAGAAAAAAGAGATGACACATGGGGATGCCTGGGTGGCTCAGTCAGTTAAGCGTCCTACCCTTGATTTTGGCTCAGGTCCTTTCGTCATGATCTCACAGTGGAGAGATAGAGCCTCCCCCCACCTTCCACTGCAGGGCTCTGCGCTGAGCTAGAGTCCTGCCACCAGTCGTGCATTGAGCATACAGCCTGCTTATGATTCATTCTCTCCCTCTCCTTCTGCCCCTCCGCAAGTTGGGTGTACATGCGTACGTGCTCTCTAAAAAAAAAGAAAACAATTAAAAAAAATAAAGACATGACACACGTTAAAATACCTACCACAATGTCTGGCATCTATTGTGAGCCATTGTCGTTTTCAGTGGCCTGGGTGGTACTCTTGCAATGCTCTTTTTCATAAAGAGTGAGGCTGTGGCCCAGATCTAGAATTTCATGCGGTAGAAATATGTTCATTTTCGTTCCTACTTTTCCTAATGAGTGCCTCCTCCCAGGGGACTGGGCAAGCCTCACACTAAGTGGGAGAGTGACTGATATTGGGAGGAGGAAATGTAAGGATTTTGGTTTCAGATCATAAGAAGCTGACAATTTGTCAAGCACACAATTGTCAAGACGAAAGATGGCTCTACTTACAAACTTTGTCACAGGTATGTACGATTTGCTGTAAATTATTTCCTATTTTGTGGAGTGCCATGGGACTGAATTTGTGAGATTTCTTGTTAAAGTGTGTGGGAAAACAAAATTATACCACTTCTCTTGTGTACTATGTAAGTATAGGTATGTTTATATTATCACTTGGGGAAATATCCACAGAACCCATAATTCATGAAAGAAAGTAAGCAGGTGAAGGAACAGATCCCATAACTGGAAGAGTCTCTAATCCAGGTGCATATGCACAGGTGGTCTTTATTAATTACCATTTTTACAACAAAATAATGAAAGTTATGTGATTTTATGAGGTCACATGGAAAATGTCAGGGATGTAACTAGAATTTGAGTTTCCTGTCTCTTGGTGTGAGTGTTCACCCTGTTTTTGATGATAAAGATGAGAGTTGGATAAATGGAAATGGGGTTCAGGGATGAGGAATGTGGGGTGGGGCAAGAAAGACCTTGAAAGAGAACCACAGCATGCCTCAACAATCTGGAAATGTTCTCATCCCTATCAATTGCACTTTTCAGGCAAGTGAGGTCTGTCTGATATTTGTTGGGTGAAGCACATCCAACCATGTGGTGAGCATGGAATGAGGGATGTGGCCATTTAGAATGATGTTAATGGACGATGTCATGGAGCCTGGATAAAATGGATACACCCATCACCATCCACACAGAGAGACACGTGCAGCATTGAGCAAAGTGAAGGATACTGTCTCCTGGGCTGATGATGGAGATCCACTACCAAATCAGCCTGCCTTTCCATTTCCCAAGGCTGACACAACTCCTCCCCACCTCTACCCCCAATGAGCTGTTTTTTTCTGTAGATATGTTATGATCTTCCTTCAGTCAATCTGCAATCAAGTCTTGGCTTCGGGACCTGACCGAACTCACAACCCTGAGATCAAGACCTGAGCTGAGATCGAGTCAGATGCTTAGCTGACTGAGCCACCCAGGCACCACAACAGACCTGCCTTTTTTTTTTTTTTTTTAATTTTTTTTAATGTTTATTCATTTTTGAGAGACAGAGACAGAGCACAAGTGGGGGAGGGGCAGAGAAAGAGGGAGACAGAATCCGAAGCAGGCTCCAGGCTCTGAGCTATCAGCACAGAACCTGACACGGGGCTTGAACTCACGAATCGTGAGGTCATGACCTGAGCTGAAGTTGGACGCTTAACCAACTGAGCCATCCAGCAGCCCCAGACCTGCCTTTTTAAAAGGTGACTTTATGGGGCACCTGGGTGGCTCAGTCTGTTGAACGTCCAACTTCGGCTGAGGTCATGATCTCATAGTTCATGGGTTTGGAACCCATGTTGGGCTCTGTGCGGACAGCTCAGAACCTGGAGCCTGCTTTGGATTCTGTATCTCCTTCTCTCTCTGCCTCTCCTTCACTCATACTCTGTGTCTATGTCTCAAAAATAAAGAAACGTTAAAAAAAAAGGTGACTTTACATTTCTTTTTTCTAATCCATTATACATACACAGCAATTTTATTTCTGTATTTCCAGAATTTATTTCAGGACAATATTAATGATCAGCTGCATGGGGGGGGGGGGCGGGGGGGGGCTAAGTCATTAAGCATTTGACTTTAGCTCAGGTCATGATCTCAAAGTTTGTAAGTTCGAGTCCCACATCGGGTAAGCATGAGCCCCACTTAGGGTGAGTACAGCCCTGCTTTGAGTAAAACACGAGCCCGGGGTGAGCCGTGCTTCTCTCTTCCTCTCTCTCTCTCTTTCTGCCCTTCGTGGGATTCTCTCTCTCTGCCCCTCACTCACTTGCACCCTCTCTCTCTCAAAAAAAAAAAAAAAAAATCAACTGTATGTACTGCCTATCATGTCAAAATGATCTGACTTAATTTTTTCCCTAAAACATCTTTGGGGGTGCCTGGCTGGCTCAGTTGGTAGAGTATGTAACTCTTGTTGATCTCTGGGTCATGAGTTCAAGCCCCACATGTGACACAGAGTTTGCTTAAAATTAAAAATTCTTTAAACTATATGTCAAAAATATAATGTATCCCTGATACTTGTGTCCAAATATAAATTCTAAATGAGGAAAAGAGCTAATAAATATTAAATGTTCTCAAATATGATTTACCATGTATCATGTATACATATTCCTATGTATATGTTGCTGTTTATAGTATGACAATGGAGAAATTCCCATTCATTTATCAACCAGGACGTTGGAGACTCTAAAAATTAATCCATTGTTCTATCAAAGTCTACAGGGATAACTTAAGGCTTTTTTACATAAAGCCTCATTCCATTGAATCCATATAGTGTTTTATAGAGCATTGTAGATGTGGTGAAAATTATCTATAAATATGTCTCCTTATGAAAATAAAAACAGTGCATGTATAACCTAAGGCAATTTGTTTAAAATTATGTCTGTCTAAAAAACAGCACATTTGGCTCCAATGTCATTTATAGTTTTGGTTATAAAATGGACTTTTCCTGGAGGGAGAATGGCCTGTTCTATATTCACAAACTACACTTTAGTGAGGCCCTTGAGCAAAGCTGGCTTCTCCCACCCCACCCGCCAGAACTGGTGTGGGAGGCTGGAGGAAGAGGGTGGAATCTGAGCTCTGTTAGTGGAAGGAAAAGCTAATGGCCTTTAATGCCTGTCCCTGCCATATCTAAAACTTTACTTGAAAGACTTGAGGACAGAAAGCTAATGAACTTGAAATAAACTTTCTACTGTGGAATAGCTTAATAGCTGTTTGCAGTATTCACTCTCGATTTTAGGAAACTGTATGGAACAAAGGATGTTTGTTGGTAAGGAGAAACTATCAACTGAAAGAAAACAGCTGTGGGGGTTTCAAAATGCTGAGGTTTTGGATATTTAATAGTCAAATGCCTTTCTTCTGGGTTTAATGATTTGTAGGCACAACACGTTTAAGGAAGATCCTAGGTTAAGTTGTAAAGCAAACTCACATTAGTTGTGGCCATGAAAAAAAAATCAATCACTGTTTTTACCAGAGAAGGGAGATAGTTTTGTCTGATTTTCAGGTTGCTTGACTGCTCAAGTATCCTCTTTCATAAACGTATTCTTCCTCATTCTCAGACCAGTATGTGGTTGTGCAAAAATAAAATAGTCATCGTCTTTCATGCCAGCAGAGATGTGGTTCTGTGCTATGTTATACAAACTCTTTAAGATCACTTATGTTTATGTATGCACATATATATTTTGTCTACTATGAAATATTTAGATTTTGTTTTAAAGCTTTCTCATTGTACCGTGCAATTTTTTCATGTATTTCATATAAACCATAAGTTTGAGTGTTTTATAGTTTCAAAACAAGTATATGAAAACACAGTGGCATGAAGTGACATGGCACACTGGGTGGAGAGGAAGTGGCCATTCATAAGACCAAACCCACATACATGCAGGAGACAGCAATTATGAGGCCAAGGATAGGGATGTTTTGAAAATATACTTAAAACGACATCAAAGATCTTTGGACCTTTGAAAATATCCCAGAAAGTGAATGAAAAACAACAGCCTTCTCTCTTTTTTCAGAGCTCTGACTCAGACCTCCTACTAAAAGGACACTGCAGAGTTGAAATATGTATTTTTAAATAATACACATATTCCTCTAAGTGAGTTAAACTATTATGTGCAGATTTTCTCGAAGGGTCCTAAAAGCAGTCATGTAGATATACAACATAATTACATAGGTGGCCACCATGAGTCTTCACATCCCAGAAGTCTCCAAGAGCACCCCTATTTCTTTTCTCACAATTACTAGGCGCATCTATAATCTAGAGGAACTTGGGCAACTCGGAAGCTCTCAAGCTTAGCAAGATGTCAAAACGAGGGCCATGATGCCACACTTCCTCATACTTCAGCTTTCCCTGAACACTCCATTCCCCACACCCCAGTCAAGTCAGATCCCTCTAACAATATCCAATTCTTTTCTAGCACTCAGCCGTTTGTAATTATATATTTTTGATTATTTGGGCAGGTCTGCCTCCCTACTAGACAGACAGCAAGCTGTATGAGGGTGAGGCACTGTGTTTCTATTCCACTTAGTTTAGAGCCTAGCGTGTGGCATGTATTCGATAAATGTTAATTGACCACATGAAAGTGCTATTTGTCTTTCTGCTGTTATTCCTGACATCAACTGAGACAGGTATGAGATTGCCATGGTGTGGGGTAGAGGGAAGCTGCAGGGTTCAGAAGATTGTAAGCAGGTGAAATGCCATGGTTGGTGTGGAGTTCTATATATCAGAGAGGGAAAGGCTTTCCTACTAAGACAGTCATCCTTCACAAGTAAATGACTTCTATGTGCTGCCTGATTTTGTAATTTTAGGTTTGAATGTTTTTTAGATTTGTGTTCTCTTTCCTCTTCTCATCTTTCCTCCCTTAGTCCCAAGTCTCAGGAAGGAGCCTGGGAATAAACACATAATGAGGAGGAGCTCTCATCAAGGGCTCTAAGGGAATGTTTTATGGAGAGTAACTTTGCAGAGATCATGGTTATGTTAGGACCGAACATCCTTATTATGATAATCTTGGTTGAGACTTTAAGATCATCTGATTCTCGTAGGTGTATTATGAAGTAGGCAGTTCAGAATCATGGCCCTTAGTTTATGGATAAGGAAAAGGGGTCATGAGAAGAGGTTGAATTATCCATTTTATAATGAAAACAAGAGCAAATTAACATTTCTGGAGAGCTTCCTGCATCTTGAGGCACCTTTATATTTAGAATAGTCCTTTATATTTAGAATATATAGTCTTTTATATTTAGAATATATACTTTATTTTTTTTTTAATTTTTTTTTTCAACGTTTATTTATTTTTGGGACAGAGAGAGACAGAGCATGAACGGGCGAGGGGCAGAGAGAGAGGGAGACACAGAATCGGAAACAGGCTCCAGGCTCTGAGCCATCAGCCCAGAGCCCGACGCGGGGCTCGAACTCACGGACCGCGAGATCGTGACCTGGCTGAAGTCGGACGCTTAACCGACTGCGCCACCCAGGCGCCCCGAGAATATATACTTTAATCATTACTACATCCCCATGAGATAGGTAACCATTACTATTATTCCCATTTCACAGATGAGGAAAGTGAGACCTACAGCAATCAAGTTATTTGCCTCAAACTGCATTACCAAGAAGCATAGAGCCATTCAAACCCAGCTGGTCTGTCTCAAACCAGTATGCTGATGAGTTAGCACTGGGAGATCTCCAAGAGTACATTGTGTTATTTGTACTTGCCTCTATAGGTAACTCCTGGTTTAATATTGCTACTTTATGTTGCCAATTTTTTTCTAACCTGTTTGCAGTTTCACCAGAACTTAGAATTTATCAAGCAGAGATCACAGTGATCACTGTGTATGACTGAAATTATATCAACCAAGTTCAGATAAAAAATGCCCTGTTTACTAATGTAAAAAAATGTCGGGGTGCCTGGGTGGCTCAGTCGGTTGAGCGTCTGACTCTTGATTTTGGCTCAGGTTGTGATCCCAGGGCTGTGGAATGGAGCCCTTAGTGGGGCTCTGTGCTGTGTGTGGATCCTACTTAGGATTCCCTCCCTCTCTCTCTCTCTCTCTCCCTCTCCCCTACTCACGCTCTCATTCTCTCTCTAAAAAAATAAATAAAAATAAATTGTTGGATACATTTACTAATTTTATTTTTTGGAGGTGCTCATTGCTTAATTACCACAGGGCACATCTATACTGGGGGAAACTTGTACCATTCTCTGACACTCTACAAAATATTAAGTATAAAAAAGTCCACAAAAACTTGTGATTTTTGAGTGCTTTTTACACTACTTAATCTCTTCAAGGAGAGGACAATGACCAACAGTGACCGGCACATTTTGTGCCCCTACAGATCCAAGTCTCTCTTTTTCTTTTTTTTTAAAGCTTTTTTTTTTTTTTTTTTTTTACGTTTGTTTATTTTGAGAGAGAGAGAGGGAGAAAGGTACAGTAGGCAAGGTGCAGAGAGAGAGAATCCTAAGCAGGCTCTGCACTGTCAGCAAAGAGCCTGATGCAGGGCTCCAACTCATAACCCATGAGATCATGACCTGAGCTGAAATCAGGGACTGGATGCTTAACCAACTGAGCTACCCAGGCGCCTGCAAGGCTCTCCATGGGTTCCCTTTACATTAGATTTTGTCACTGAAAAGAGAACATGGATATGTTGTAATTTGTAGCTGATAAGAACAATTACACCAAAAGGTACCCTTGCTTAGAGTTCTAGAGAAGAAAGTGATCCAGACAAGATTTGGGGCCTATGCACAGCACTATGACCCAAGTTCAGTACCTGAGCTCCTGGTCAGGAGGGCAGTGAGCAGAGGTCAATACAGAGGGTGTTATTTCTGTGTTTGTGGAATATTACTGACTGCATTTAAAAGCCACGTTAGAAGGGATATTGGCTGGTTTTCAGCTTCTTGTGTTATTCGTGCCTCTGCCCCTCTCCATTATGGATAACTGAGGTTTTTAATTGAGGTTTTAATATACAGTAGTGACATTCTAGTAGATGAAGGAAGGGGGCAGTCCCCGAGGGCAATCTGAACTTCTGCTTAGTATATTTACTCTTGCTGTTTTCCTTCCTCCTCATTTGTAATTCAGGAGGCTCTCTGAGAAGAGAGAGACAACGAAGAGGCTTCTTAGATGGATCGAAGGATCACAAGCTGGGATACCAGGTTCTATGAAAAGGTCTGCTATTGAATTTGCTCTACCTTTAGGCAAATCATTTGATCATGTTGTGCTTTGGCTTCTTCCTGTGTTTGCTAAGTGTAAATAACATGTATTTGACTATTTTGTGATTATTATAGACTATTTTAAATGTGTGGGTGATTTATTTTTCCAGGCCAGCTGCTCAGGTATAAAATGAAAATCTGCTCCTTTGAGATGCTAGGCTTCCTGGCTGTCAACTGACCCCCAAATCCTTCAGAGTTCAGTAGGCATCTAGTTGCTTCTTGTTCATCTGACACATTTTGCAGTCTCTGTGCTGTGGCTCCTCAGGTTTACTCTATATTTGGGGGGCATACCTTTTGTCTTTTTTGTTTTCAGAAATGAAATGTGTCACTTTATATATTCCTACTGCTTTCACCCTCCTCCCCACTCCACCTCTAAAAAGATGAAGGCTGCTTTATCTGACACTGATTGCATGAGACAGGAGGGACAGGTGACATGGTAAACAAACTGAGTTTACCTAGACTGGCTAATATGGTTCCCTTTTGATGACTTGGGCCAGGACCACTACAAGTTTGAACTAGATTTAGTAAGGTTCAGGTTCTTTGGCGTTTTAGCAGGAAGTAGTCAGGTAACATACTGAAAAGAGAGAACACAAAGTACCCTCCCCTTTCCCCTTTGTGTTTGTTATAGCCTACCTCACATTAGGCAACAAGATGCCCCTGTTCCCAAAAAGTCCCAAGCCAGGATTCTTAGAAGCTAATAAATAAGTTTGTGGGTAAAGTACGATTTTGTTCTTCATCAGTGGATCACCATACCACTGCTTCATAAATGGTAATCTCTGAAGTGCAATACTGGAGTTGACGGTAAGGCTTACTTCTTTTGAACTTAAATAAAATGTATTTACATTATTTCTAGTGCAGTTAAATTAAAAGCAGTTTCCAAACAAACCTGGAAAAGGTGTTGAAGCTAGAGAACCCATGAAATATATTACTCCTTAGTTGTAGCTTGGTGGTAGCAGCAGGAAGAACTTCAGACACAGGAACACGGTGTAACCCTTCGGTTCTGAAACGTTGCTAGGTCTCCTCGTGCTAGAAATGATCAAAGAAACATCCGGGTAAATATTGCTCCCAGAGCTTAGTTCGCTTTAAGAGTGCTGGGTCCAACTTCCATCTGTTAGTTCAAGAAAACAAGCAGCAAGGGCCTCGGATTTGGGGGTCTTCGTTCTTGGGCAGGGTCATCAATACATGAACGTAATACTTGCAGGTGCCTGAGCTGCAGTGGCTTCCAACAAAGGCAGAGCTTTCACTGATATCTCTTAGAAACATATAGCCAGCAACTTGCCAGGCTTGGGGAACAGGACTGGGAAGAACCAAGGGCTTGGTGATATCCTTTCTCCCTAGATTCCAGACCGCTTTGTAGCTCCTGCGGAGCAGGGTGGAGGCCCTTGGGGTGGGGGTCTGGCTCTTCGGCTCTAAATGTAAATAAGAAGCCACGCAGCTGAGCCAGTGACAGTTAAGAACTGGCAGCGTCCGTCTCAGGCAAGGTGTTGGTCTGACAGTCTGGACGTACGAACGGCAGGAGACTCCCTCTCCTCACCCTCGGGTCAATCTGCACAACCAGGTTAAGTCCTGCCGGGGTAGGGGTGGGGGGGTTGGGGGAAGGGAATGAGGCGCCCAGAGGCAACGACTAAGGCGAGGAAAGACCAGAAGTCCTAAGGACACCACCTTGGAGGGACCGGGAGGCTTCAGTAACTGCCTTCGGAAGTATCGCCCTTGCCGTATAAAATGAAACTCATCTCCGCCATTACGTGAAGCCGCGGCCCAGACAGGAGGCGGGGACGCGCGCCTGGCGAATGCGCGCTCCCTTTGTCCCGCCTCCCGGCCGGCGGCTCAATCCGCGCGGGAGCGCGCTTCGGCCGCTCATAAGTGCTCCGGGTAGAAACTGGCGCCGGCGGCGGTTGCGTTCCGCGGGCGGAAAGGAAGGGGGAGGTGAGAAGGCTGTGCGCTGCCCGCTCCTCCCCACCCCCCGCCTCGGCCCTGAAGGGGCTGGATGGGCAAGTTGGGCGCGATGGCTCGAGTCCGGGCGGCGGCGGCGGCGGCCGGAGGCGGCGGCGCCTCCTCCTCCTCGCCCCGGCGCCGGCGGTGATCCGAACGAGCGGCCGCGGCCCCCGATGAGACTGTTCGCGGGCTGGCTGTGCCTGAGCCTGGCGTCCGTGTGGCTGGCGCGGAGGATGTGGACGCTGCGGAGCCCGCTCACCCGCTCCCTGTACGTGAACATGACGAGCGGCCCCGGCGGGCCGGCGGCGGCCGCGGGCGGCAGGAAGGAGAACCACCAGGTACGCGGCCGGGGTCGGGCCCGGGCCCGGCGGGGGCGGGGGCGTGGCGGCCCGGCCTTCCCGCGCTCGGCCCGGCTATTGTGCGGGGCTTCGCGGCGAGAGGGCCTCCCCGGGCCCTCGCCCCGCCGCCTCGGCCCCTCGGAAAGTTTCCCCGACGTCGTCCCCGCCGGGCGCTGGCTCCGCGACCCTCGAGCGTTCGGCCCGGGCCCCGCGGCGCCTTTTGTTCCCGGGCGCGGGCGGACAGCGGCCTCCCGTTCCTTCCCGGGCCCGGGTGTGGGCGCCCCGGCGCCCCGCATTGTTCCCGGGTGCCAGGCGGTGATTGCAGGCGCCGGGCGGCACGACGCAGGAACTTTGGGGCGAGCGCGTGGCCACGGGCATCCATCTGGCACCGGGGCCTGCGATGTAAACGACCAGACCAAACCCATCGCCCTCGACCGCCTTCATCACCCCTGGGGAATCAAAGCGAAAAGCAGGTCCTTCTTTTTGTCTGGTTGAATCTCTGAACGTACAAAGGGCCATAAAGAAATTTAACCGTGCATTGTGAGCCATTTAACCCTCTGGGCTTATTCGGGTGACATTTTCCCTCAGCAGTTAAATGTGTTTGACAGGTCCTCACACTCCCATCCTGCTGAACCTTCCTCCCCTACCAAAGAGAGATCTCCTTTTAACTTCGATGTTGGTAGTCGACCAGAAAGATGTGGTAAGAAGGAAGATGATGCAAGCTTTTCCTGGAAGGGTTTTTAAAACAGAATTAGGGAGGAGTGAATTCTTTTCAGAGTTGTGGATCGTGAACGACGCGATGTGACCGGTTAGGCAGTCTTTTCATTAGCTTAGTTTGTGGTGCCACTTACAGAAGTATGTGCAGGTCAACTGTGGAATTAAGAGTGATATTTCATTTTTGACCATAATATAGTTTGTGGTTAACCTTGCATTCATTGAAAAGAGGCTTTTAAACTCTGTCGGAGTGTTGGCTTATAATTGCTAGCATTTATAGTGCATTTTGCCTTTCGAGAGAGCAGTAAGTGGTTATTCCCCATCTTATGACATCGTTTTCATAGATTTCTCATTTTCCTATGTTACATTTCTTATTATGCCAGGCGTTCAGAAAGTTTACATTCGGGTTGATTTCGTGTGTTTTAATGAAAGTAAAGAATTATCTAAGGACATAAAGCAATTCATTAAGGAAAGTAGCTTATAGTTTTTATTTAGTAATTACTGATTGTGGCCCATTTTCTATTTTTAAAGGAAGTCCTAAATTCCCATAAAATTTTTTTGTGATCCCAGAGCTATTTTGATTTGTTAGGTAGTCATACCTATGATATTGTTAGGAGAGTACATAAAGTCAGTAGGTGATCTTCAGTTGTGAAACTACATTCTTTGCTATAAATTAGTTACGTTAATCGTTCTTAGAGAAACAATTCTTTTTTTTTTTTTTTCAACGTTTATTTATTTTTGGGACAGAGAGAGACAGAGCATGAACGGGGGAGGGGCAGAGAGAGGGAGACACAGAATCGGAAACAGGCTCCAGGCTCCGAGCCATCAGCCCAGAGCCCGACGCGGGGCTCGAACTCACGGACCGCGAGATCGTGACCTGGCTGAAGTCGGACGCTTAACCGACTGCGCCACCCAGGCGCCCCTAGAGAAACAATTCTAAAGTACTGCAGTGATAATGTACAATTACCAAATGTCACATATCCACGTGGAATATGGATAGTGGCATAAAACAATGAATTAGAAATATCATTTTCAACAATTGGTAGAAGTAACGTTCCGGTTAGGACAAAAAGGAAGCTTATTTCCATTGATGTGGAATTATGGTGGAGTCTCTTAGCTGTAGGTGTTTATGACACTTGTGATTACCTCTACTATAACATTTGATTTATTGTATATATATTTTGTATGTAATATATTTAATGCTTATAAAAGAATTGGTTATATTTAAAAAACTGAAAAACTGTTTACATAATTTGATTTTCGTGGAGTCTGGGTAGACTATAGCTGGAGACGTAGCCTCATAATAAGTACTTCCTAACAGGAGATACTTTCTAATTGTGTGCCTTTTAAAAACTGAATCAGTTACTAATACTGGTTTCCGATACCCCATTTACTTTGTTACACTTCTGAGATACTGAGTTATATGTGTACATGTGTGTGTTTTAACCAGTTGGACCAACAATTTGGCCACTAATTTCTCCAAAGTGAAGACTAATCTGGTACTTTCTGAATATTTAGGGGCAGATTGACTCTTTCTTAGAGTGATCAATCCAGTGATGCATTGACATATGAAAATATTGCCCGTGAATAAAGATTAAAATGAACAAAAGAAATGTGTGTATAGAGACCACGGTGAGATAAGGTGAAAGAGGAGACTCCTCTCTGCAGAGTGCCTGCGCTCATTTGTTATCTTCTTTATAATCCAGGATCCTAGGTTTGCCTTATGAACTTTCTTACTTGTAAAGTAACTTGACTCTAACATTCTTGCCCCCTTCACATTTATAGTTTTATACAGGGTTTTCTGGTGTTCATTTGGGGGTGTGGGTTCCATAGCAAGCCACATCTGATTCTTTTGGGGTTGCATGAAAGTGGGGTTATGGATTTTTTAAAAATTTTTTTAGTTAATGTTTTTTATTTATTTTTGAGAGAGAGACAGAGTGTGAGCGGGGGAAGGGCAGAGAGAGAGGGAGACACAGAATCTGAAGCAGGCTCCAGGCTCTGAGCTGTCAGCACAGAGCCCGACGCGGGGCTCGAACTCACAAACCGTGAGATCATGACCTGAGCTGAAGTCCATGCTTAACTGACTGAGCCACCAGGTGCCCCAATGGATTTAATTGAACCGTACTTAGCACAAGTTTTCTTTATGATGATTTTATTAAGAAATTATGGTGGAGGATTCTCTGGTTAAAAGAGAAATCTTGGGAAATGTTTATCATTAAAAATTGCTATTTAGGGGGCGCCTGGGTGGCGCAGTCGGTTAAGCGTCCGACTTCAGCCAGGTCACTATCTTGCGGTCCGTGAGTTCGAGCCCCGCGTCAGGCTCTGGGCTGATGGCTCGGAGACTGGAGCCTGTTTCTGATTCTGTGTCTCCCTCTCTCTCTGCCCCTCCCCCGTTCATGCTCTGTCTCTCTCTGTTCCAAAAATAAATAAACGTTGAAAAAAAAATTAAAAAAAAAATTGCTATTTAGTTATGATAGCCTGGAGATGAGTTGCAAGGCTCCTTTGCCCTAAAGTAGTTCTAAAACTATAGTAGCAGCACCATTTTAATAACTTGGTGTGCTAGCTTCAAAGCTGGGATTATTTTTCACTTTAAGCAAGGGAGAAGCAAGGAAGGGCTTCTCTTAGAAAGCTGGGATGTGGCTTGCAGGCCAAATTGGGCTCACTGACTTGTTTGTTACAGCCTGTAAAGTAAGAATAGTTTTGCGTTTTTAAATGGCTGCAAAAGCATGTAATATTTTATAATATGCGAAAATTTCTTACATGAAATTCAAATTTCAGCATCCACAAATAAGGTCTTGTTGGAACAGAGCCACCACATTCGTTTACTTACTGCCCATAGGGGCCTCCACACTACAGCAGCAGTCAGTGGTTGGTACTGTGTGACCCACGAGCTGAACTATTTACTCTGTAGCCCCTTATAGAAAAAAAGAGTCTTCTCCAGAGAAAGTTTCCAGCTGCCTTCATCAGCAGCACATTTCTTGGTCACAGGTTGCATGGTGGATAGTTTGCCTCATTGGGAAGAAGTAGAGCCAGGCAGTGAGAAACTAGATATGTCACTTTTCAACATTGGCAGGCTTGGAACTTAAAAAGAAGACAGCAACAACAAAAACTTTGCATCTAGTGTTTTTGTCTCATTGTACCTAGTACTTCAAGTTAATGCATCAATTATGGAGCTGTTGAAACTTGAAAGGACTCTTAGGCCTCACTAACTACGTTCTTGATAATAATAGTCATTCAGTAGTTTCTGAACTGATGGAGTGCCAAAAGAATTGTTATGGAACTCCCTGGAACCAAGCCAGGACGGTTTCTGCAGGTGATGTACTGTAAGGATTCTTAAGAGCACAGGTAACCTTGAATATCTGGAATTAGCAAGGTATAACTTAAAACTGCAAGGTTGTGTTATATCTGACTTATTTTTTCACCTTCTGTAAGCTCTGAACTGTGTTGCAAGGGGTAATGGGGTATAAGACGGAATTGAAACAACTGGGGTTTTTTTCCAAATGAAAAAATACTTGGACATCACAGCCATAGGTCACAGGTTGTGCTAATGGACAGATTCGGTGTCCTGTCCCCTCACTCCCCATTTACCTTGCAGGGGCTGATCAAAGTCAGGCACAAGTTAACAATGCTCAAGGGCAGTCACCAGCTAGCCAGATGGACACTGATGGATTTGTATCCTCTTCTGAGCTGCCTTCCAGAATCTGGAGGCCTCTGCAGCTGAATACCAAAGAGATTCTGAAAGGAGTTTCTTTCCTTCCTTACAATTGTGTTGAAACCCTATCCAAATGTTTGCCTCTGGGTGCCT